CACCCTACTAACACAACCAAACTCACACAACCTACTAACACAACCAAACCCACACACCCTACTAACACAACCAAACCAACACAACCCGTTAACACAACCAAACCAACCCAACCCGTTAACCCAACCAAACTCACACAACCTACTAACACAACCAAACCAACCCAACCTACTAACACAACCAAACCCACACAACCGGTTAACACAACCAAACTCACACAACCTACTAACGCAACCAAACCAACACAACCTACTAACACAACCAAACCAACCCAACCTACTAACACAACCAAACCAACCCAACCTACTAACACAACCAAACCAACACAACCTACTAACACAACCAAACCAACACAACCTACTAACATAACCAAACCCACACACTCTGCGAACACAGCCAAACACACACACTCCACACTAATAACCAAACCCGGCCCCAAACTGAGCTCTGGACTGTCAATCAGCTGGACTGCTCCGTCCCTGGCCCTGCCCCAGGCCACGCCCCCTCTGAGGCCGGCCCGCCCCCCAGACTCTCTGCACCCAAAGGCGGTCAGAGCTCACCTGCATGAACCACACAAAGACTTTTTATACTGATTTGTACAGAACGGTTTTTAAACAGCGCTTCATTCAATCATTTTATTTCTACTGTCTACCGGTTTTCCTTTCTTTGTAACCGGTCTGACAAGAGCAGAGAATCCTTCTGTAAGCCAGGATCAACATCTCTCTCTGTCTCTCTCCTGTTTCTGGTTGTCATCATGGCAAATGTAGCTCGTAACTCGCTCCTCAGTGCCTGTCCGTAACTGTGAAATATCCAAGCACTTCGGCTCGGCTGCACTGAGAAAATTCTTCAAATCCAAACAGGTCCTTGAATAATATATTTTCAGTTGTAGGCTTTAGTCTTATTAGAGCTGACATGAACATATATATATATTTTGTAAGATGACACAGAATTCTTTTAAAGACTACAGGCTTTTCCATAGAGCTTATTTATATCAAGGGTTTCTTTGGTTCTGTTTGATTCGTCAGCACTGTAGTGTACATAACGATTTTTCTAAAGGAAATGTGTAGTGTGATTTATACTGAAATCAGAACCTCCTAATAAAAGGTTCGGTTTGTTGGATCGGTGTCGTGTCTGTAAACCTCGTCGGCCGTCTAGCGTTTGCATGATCTGAAACTACTGAAGAGAATTAAAATATCACAATATCTGTCGCATCCACACCGTCTTCTGGGGTGTGATTTTTTTATATATTTCTGCTGATAGCAGACTGTCTTTCAGTAGTCACATGACCAGTGCTTTCTTTCACCTCAGAAACATCCCTAAACTACGAACTAAACTCTGGAACAGATTTTCTAGGACTGTTCAGGACTCAGACTCACTCTCTCAGTTTAAGTCAGGACTGAAGACTCATCTTTTAGCCCAGCATAAACCGTTCATTGCTCATTCAGTCATGGTTTTGCTGTATTAGTCCGGTCTGACAGAAACACTTTTCCTACTGTATGAAGTGAATGGCATCCATGCTAATGATATTCCTTCTCATCTGCCATTATATCCTTAGAGTCTCAGGTCTGACGAATTCGTGATGAATTGTGACCATTGTAAACCAACTATTATTGATTGTTGCACTCCTGTCTTCCATGTTTGAGCTCATGGAGACTGAACCACTGCCACGTCTAACCTGAACGTAATCTATGTCAGCCGCATTAGTAAATCAAAGATGAGCCTCAGACACAAAAAATAAACTTGGCGTAAATATGTACGCACCATGCAGACATTCAAGAAGACCATGCGTACAAACTCTTTTTCCAGGAGTGAGAAAAGTAATGAAGTAAACGACGATTTTAAACTGTCGATACACACATTTACATTAAATATTCCACTCTCATTAATGGAAATAAACACTGAAATTACATAAAGTCATTACGCATAAGTTTACGCATATTTGTAGTGGATGCGCTTGATCACTTTTCCTGTGGTATGTTATGTTTTAATGACAGCGAGGAGTGCTATAGGTGCACAATCGTTCATCTTTAAATGAAACTGCAGATCTCATGTTATGAGAAAATATTTTTAGCGAGAACAATGATCAATGATGCGCACTTCAATATTGTGGCGGACACTGCTGGATTCAGTGGAACGGTCTATTGTTCGGTTTGAATAGGACCAATGATAATAGCTTACTGTACAACCAGAACTGCACGGAGGTGTTAATGTCGTGTGACGGCATCTCCACAACATTATGAAAAATACCACTGTATTTGAAATATACAACTTGAAGAAAACAGTAAGATTAGCATGTTTCCTTTTTAAAATACTTTGTCAGTGACGTTGACCGTTTTATTTACACTTCAATAAATATAGGCCTATCTGTTTCCACTAAAAATAACTAAAAGATGTTCACCTTATCATCAAAACTGTATATATTTATGGAAATTTGGCCAGTGGAAATGAAAGATTAAATCTATTCTAAAATATTTATCTGAGAACTATTTTAAACCGTTTTTATGGATATTTTGATATATTTATTTTAAAACAAGGATACGGGATGATTTTTAGCAATAAAAATTGTGTATGCAATGAATGGCATTTATAGTCTGTATCTCATTTCCTTAATGTCTTGTACCTTTGACGGTGTTAAACATGGTGTCACGTGGATGGGAATACGCATGGAAATGATATGCAGATGAGGTTATGCATAGTAAAACTAGGCGTTGTAAGCTCCATATTTGGTGATTTCTGGGAGGAGTCGGGGTGGAGATGCACTCACGCACAATCTTCCCGACTGGGAATTATAAAGGAATTTTTGTGCAGGTTCTGGCATCCGCCTGGTTTTATAAATCGGAAAACTTTTGTGCGTACACAAAATCTAGCTTTTGTGCATACATACACTTTTAGGTTGAAATCTACATAGAGAGTTTTATAAAGGAGACCCCTGCTCATGCCAACACAAATGTTTAAGATGAGTAGTGGTGATATTTATTTGGTACAACATTTGCAACTGGTTTTTATCACTTTAGAAGCACCAAAAATATGTTATAGGAAATACTGAACAGACATTTAGAAGTTGATATTAAAATGCAAAGTATTTAAAATAAAAATGAAGCTATGTACAGGTCAACACATGCATTTTAAGTGTGTCCCATCAGGTAATGAAAAGTTTTACACACACTTGTGGTCTTCATCCTCACTTGAACACTTGGCCCAAATACAGGAAATATACGTCATATAAGTAGTCAAAGTTTTCAAGTGCAAAGAACTCAAGTGGGGGTATTTGGACAAAGCATTAGTGTAAACAAGGAGGCTAAAACTGCAGCCCTTAGTGTCAGTCGTTAGTGCGTCTCTTGAGATCAGGGGAGTGAGGTTTACCTGCACAGCACCTACTTGCTGGCCTCCGTTACACGGGCATTAAGACGGTTACGGCCTGATTCGCGTGGCGCGCGTGCACCTGCTCGTACAGCGCCAGTCTAAACTTGAGTTATTTTTCGCGCCTTGTGCTTAAATGTTCAAATGCACAGTTATGTGTCAAAATGTCTCCTCGTCAACACAGTCATTTGTGCCTTAAATTAACGTTAATAGTTAAAGGCACAATATGTAAGATTTTTTAAATAAAATATCCAAAAACCACTAGAACAGTGTTATATATTTTGCTGACTTGTGTGCGCACGACTGTGGCATAATAAAAGCGCCGCTGCTTTCCAGCCATGTGTCGCGCTCGTTCAGCGCCTCATTTCGCTTTGACGGCTTTCAGCCTCACCCTGCTTTATTCTACTATGTTAATAAATCATTAGCTCATCCATGAACATGACTTCTGCCCGAGTCCCGTCGGATTGCATCGGCTGTGGGGATGAAGACCCCAACTCCCATGAGAAACACAGGCAGATGGCACCTTGAAGCAGCTAATGCTCATCAGATTGTGTAAATCAGTGGAAAATGAATAGAAATGATGATTCCGCCGGAAGAAATATTAAATAAATGTATAAATATGTAGCGTCTCGACCAATCTGACACACTAATTTTTATTTGATTTAACAAATCAATTATTCATTAGATTAACAAATCGTCACAGTCCCCTCACTAATACATCAGTATTTCTCTACGTATGTGCACTTTTGGACTAAAAGCCCTAATGGACGCTATGTGAACAAATAAACCGTATCAGACCTAACAGAATATGAATGCGTGTCGTTATTCTAGTCAAAATGTTTAAAAATACAGATTGATTATTTTGCACTCATGACAAAACTGAAGAAATTAGTCACTGCAACCGGGTTTCATCATAAACGGTGGTTGAAGCTAGAATTTTAAATCTAACAACACAGTTCATCCAGATCGGGTAAGAGTGTGATGTTTTAAGGTGCAGTGAATGCTATACATTGGGTTGTCAACTTGGGGAAAATAAGGGACAATCGTGATTTTTCATAGAAAAATAAGGCACACAAACAGACATGCATTTTATATATACAATATATATATATATAGAGAGAGAGAGAGAGAGAGAGAGTTTATTACGCTGATCAAGGCTGTATTTATTTGATACAGAATACAGAAAAAACAGCAATATGGTGAAACATTATTGCAATTTCTAATATTTGTTTCCTGTTTTAATATACTTTCAAATATAATTTATTTCTGTGACACAACGCTGATTTTTTAGCATCATTACTCCAGTCTTAGAGTCACATGATCCTTCAGAACTCATTCTAATATGATGATTTATCATCAGTTGAAACTGTTGTTGCTTAAAATTTTTTGGAACCTGTGATACTTTCTTTTTAGGATTCTTTGATAATAAAAAGTTAAAAAGAACAGCATTTATTCAGAATAGAAATCTTTTCTAACAATATGTTTTAGCACTTTTTATACATTTAACACATCCTTGCTGAATATATGAATTAATATCTTTAACATTTACTGACACCAATCTTTTCAATGGTAGTGTATATTGTAGCAACATTTCTATTTGTGTGTATGAAAATGCATATTTTTCAATTAAAGAGAACTTATA